TTATGCCTCTTTGCAAAGGACGGAGGCTATTGGAAAAGCCATTGAAATACCAATGAAAATAAGAGGATGATTCCCGGTATATTATTTGGCTAAGTTCTAAATGCACTTAAAATGGTGTGCTTGTATCGAATATACGATTTAATGTCGTAGCCCTTTCAAAATTTAACAATCTGTAATTAAGTTCATTGTCAAGACTTTACTATACGTCTCCGTAGAGCAAAAAGTCTATTTAGCTTGCTAAATAGAGCGTAGAGTTGTCGTAGAGTTTTCGATCTAGCTTCATTGGACTGTGTACACGGTGAAAAAGTCTCGCTAAATAACTCTCACATAGACTTTGTTGTTGAGTCTCTCGTAGAGCTCTATTGAGTGTTTACACATCTCTAGCGAGATTTTTGTCTAAATCTCGCGTTTTTTCTCTACCGTGTACACTTAGCTTAAGAGTGGTATATTTGAAAATTAGAGAGTTCTACCTTTAAGCTAAGTAATACTGGTTTTACCCCCTAATTTATGGGTCCATTTTCCAAAATCAGCCCACCATTATTCACTCAAAGTTGTGTTTGGAACCAGATATGACTTATGTAGGAACTGCATCTATAATCGCTTACGCTGCAAGCCTGATTTGCTAGGAATTTTGTTTTTCTCGTTGCTTTGTTTTATGTGACTTGAAAACATTTTCCACTATACGAAAATATTGAAATTGGATTTCATTTGGGTTAAAGAAAACGACAACTCGACAAAAAATATCAACCAATACATTCAAATAAATTAATAAATAAGCATACCCTGCAAACCATTTTTTCAGAGTATTCTGCATTGTAAAGAAGTTTTAAAGAATTCGTTAAGATTTAGTTCGATTTTTTGCCGAATGTTCAAAAATGAAATAAATTACGCACACTTCCATTCTTTTACGAAATTTCGGAAGATAATCTGTGAAGCAACGAAAATAATGCTGCTATGTGAAGAATATCTTTCAGAATTTTTCCAGAATTTTCTTTATTTTTCGTACAGAAATTTCTTTACGAGTTCGTGTCAACCCCTTCATATAATTTTCTTTGAAAATTCGTAAAAAAATCGTTACAGAAATCAGATACTCCTAACGATTTCCTTAAGATTTCGGGAACTTTGGTTTGCAGGGTAGGCAAAACAAAAAAAGTAAATACCCTGCAAACCAAAGTTCCCGAAATCTTAAGGAAATCGTTAGGAGTATCTGATTTCTGTAACGATTTTTTTACGAATTTTCAAAGAAAATTATATGAAGGGGTTGACACGAACTCGTAAAGAAATTTCTGTACGAAAAATAAAGAAAATTCTGGAAAAATTCTGAAAGATATTCTTCACATAGCAGCATTATTTTCGTTGCTTCACAGATTATCTTCCGAAATTTCGTAAAAGAATGGAAGTGTGCGTAATTTATTTCATTTTTGAACATTCGGCAAAAAATCGAACTAAATCTTAACGAATTCTTTAAAACTTCTTTACAATGCAGAATACTCTGAAAAAATGGTTTGCAGGGTATGCTTATTTATTAATTTATTTGAATGTATTGGTTGATATTTTTTGTCGAGTTGTCGTTTTCTTTAACCCAAATGAAATCCAATTTCAATATTTTCGTATAGTGGAAAATGTTTTCAAGTCACATAAAACAAAGCAACGAGAAAAACAAAATTCCTAGCAAATCAGGCTTGCAGCGTAAGCGATTATAGATGCAGTTCCTACATAAGTCATATCTGGTTCCAAACACAACTTTGAGTGAATAATGGTGGGCTGATTTTGGAAAATGGACCCATAAATTAGGGGGTAAAACCAGTATTACTTAGCTTAAAGGTAGAACTCTCTAATTTTCAAATATACCACTCTTAAGCTAAGTGTACACGGTAGAGAAAAAACGCGAGATTTAGACAAAAATCTCGCTAGAGATGTGTAAACACTCAATAGAGCTCTACGAGAGACTCAACAACAAAGTCTATGTGAGAGTTATTTAGCGAGACTTTTTCACCGTGTACACAGTCCAATGAAGCTAGATCGAAAACTCTACGACAACTCTACGCTCTATTTAGCAAGCTAAATAGACTTTTTGCTCTACGGAGACGTATAGTAAAGTCTTGACAATGAACTTAATTACAGATTGTTAAATTTTGAAAGGGCTACGACATTAAATCGTATATTCGATACAAGCACACCATTTTAAGTGCATTTAGAACTTAGCCAAATAATATACCGGGAATCATCCTCTTATTTTCATTGGTATTTCAATGGCTTTTCCAATAGCCTCCGTCCTTTGCAAAGAGGCATAACTATTGGTTAAAACATAAGGGGTATTCACAAATTGAGCAGGTGGTCAGGCAAATAAATACAATTTGAAAATTTAATTCTTGTCCATATTGCGAAAATGTATTTTATGACGTCAGAAAATAGGTGAATGCTGTCAAATCGACGAAGGGTTAGCGCTCCGCTGATGGCGCCAACTATATTTTTTACATCGTGGCTTTGATATAAATACATATACACATACAACAAGCGTTGACAACAATTCGAGATAGAAAACTAACTCTAGGCGAGAGGTAACTATTGTCTACCGTGTACACAGCTTGTAGAGTACGTGATAGATAAAAGTTGAGATTTCTCTATTTTGTCTCTAGCTAGAGTGCATATCTCCTAGAGTTGCTCTACCGTGTAAACTCAATTGAGGAGGGAGATTTTTATTTCAGTGAAACTCTCGAGAGATTTTTCTACCGTGTACGTTTAGCTTTATAGTAGAGACCTACAAAGTTTTTATGAAATATGTACCCAAAGTTGTATATCGACGCTCGAACAAATTCAGGAAAGGTTTATGCAGATAAGCAAGGATGTTTTTTAACGGTATAAAATGTATATACACATATTCTTACATACATATTTATCAAAATATTCAGAATGACGAAATGAATTTGTTCAGTCGTGTCTGTTTGTAAACACGCTAACTCGAACAAAATTTAGATATTTTAACGAAAGTCGGTGCCGAAGTTGCCTTTGGTATAATTAAGGTTAGTATTACATTTTTGTGAATTAATTGTGTGTTAATTTTCAAATAAGCAAATTGTCAATGTCTGGTTTACTGTATACTGTGAAAAGATCGAGTTTAAAAAAATCTATGACAAATAATCAAGCAAGCAAGAACCACAAAAAGTGTTCCACCGTCTCATCTTCTTCAAGGCAAGATGGGCAAATGGACTTGCCATTTACGCCTATCACAGTCAGGTGTTTGTGCCACGTGAGGTGACCAGACAGCAGTCCAGCAAGTTGTCTGCAGTGTCGTATGCTCTCTCTCACTTAGAAAATTAGATAGACCTTGTGAGATTGAAGGCAACATGAGTTTTGCCCACCTGCCTCCCCTCGATGCCTCTCAGTCATTTCTGAGCAAAGTATTCACCCAGTTTCTGGTGGTGGCTTCGATTGCCGAAGGTGGGAGTGCTAAAACTAGTTGCCGACCAAGGAATGCCTGGTCTAAGCCAACTCTGGCCAAATGATCAGATGTCTCATAACCAGGTACACCAGAGTGACCTGGCACCCAGAGTAAAACAACCTCGTTATGTTCACCATCATATTTTAGTCGATACTTGCATTTCCGAACTAGGTTGGAAGTACTTAACCTTAAGTGGAGCTTGGTTGTTACTGCAGGCATGTAAACTCCATCCCCTCTATCTATGTTCCACCACGTAGTCCATGGCTTTGAGTATTGCAATTACCTCAGCCTGGAAGACCGAAGCATATTCCCCTACAGAAAAGTGAAGCTTATCTCCATTAACCTCGAAAAATACCCGAAGTCATGACCGAGAGTCAGTTTTGCAGCCATCAGTGAAGATTCGACAATGTGTGAGTCCGGTCTCAGCAATGTTATCAAACCAGCATTCAGTCTCAGGGAACACAACATTATAGAATCTCTTCAACAAAGGTGGCATACTATCCTGTAGCATTGAAAAGACAAAAGTGATTAAATCTCTGCGGCCAGCAATTTTCGCCGCGCCCCACTCATTGTCATACCAGCATCCGGTTCTTTTTAGTATGCAGGTGGCCTTTAAGGCTTCCCGACGTATGAAAACACAAGGTGACGGCAATTGCAGCAGTGCAGAGCACTAAACACCACTCAAACAAATTAAAGTTAAATAAAGAGGCTAAGTATCAAGCAACCATTTTGGTTCTTTACATCGAAACCAGATAAATTTTCGTGGACCCCCAATTACAACTCATATTTTGTTCACGTCACCATGGACCCCCGTCGAGTCTTCCGTGGACCCCTGGGGGTCCACCTGGACCACTTTGGGAATCACTGGCATGGACGCACGATCGAATACGAACGATTTCACTCTATTGATTTTTGTACTACACAAATTCATTTATGAGAAGGCGGCCATCGCTGTGCGTTAGTCATGGGGAATATTCATGGAAGTTATTATGCTCCGCAGATGAAAAGTGAGGTAGAAAGTATTAATAATATGCACCACCTGGAAGCCTACTGTTTAGATTTATTTTTTGTATGATTTTTATTTAAACTTTTATATATTTCATATATTTTACATTTTTAAGTTATTGGAAGATTTTTGCTGTGTTGGAATTTTGCATCAGCGGCCTTTTACAAAATTTTTGAATCGCATTCTGCACAAAGTATAAGGGGACCATGTTTTGTTAGCTTTGAATTTAATAGTGTTCATTCAATAGTGTTCGCTTTATTTTTGGAAACGAAATATGTTTTGCAAGTTTTTGATCATTTCTACATTCTTCATCAAATATTTCTCGTATTCCAGATCTTTTAGCTTTTAGTTTTTTGCATCGTGTTTTTATTTTATTCGTAATTTTAAGTTTTTTTTTATAAAATTAATTGGTGGTGTTTCATGATTGTGTTAATTAATAGCATTGAGGATTTGGCAATAACCTCTTTCATCAATAGAAACATTTACGGGGCAATGGTTATTGTAACAACATTCACACTTTAAGCATTGTTGACGTTATTTCCATTTGAATGAGGAAATAGCTTCATTCACTTTTTTTCCAGATTTTTTTTTACTTTATTTCGCTTTTGAAAAGGCAATAATGTCAATTGGCTTTATTTCGCACCAGTATGCGACACAATTACAAAAATTTTTTTTATAAAAGTTGTTAAATTTTTTTAAATATCACTGACATCTCAATGGCTTTAAAACGTTTTTCTCTTGACGCTCAATGTATTTTGTATGGCAAACGATGAAATGAGTGTCGCAAGCGCGCTAGACTCGCTGTCAATCGATATTTATTGAAAAACCTCAACGGCTTCCACACAAACTACATTGGGCGTCAAGAGAAAAGAGTGAATAACTTTCGTCTCGATGCCTTCCGGCAAAGTTTTTTCTGCAAATAAATAGCTATAACTTCCAAATTAATTCGAATTTCGAAAAAGTGTGAAACTGGTATTTTTATTTATCGTTGTGGTACATAAAAAGATAATTGCACAAAAAAAGCTCGACCTTCGAAAAAATGGTGACCCACTTCACAAATTTTACATTGGATGAAAAGGGATTGAGATTGTGTATATTAAAAATTCAAGTGCATTTCTTTAACTCTTCGCTTTACTATAAAGTAGATAAGTACGTTGAATTCGGAAAGCTATTTAAAGTTTTATTAAGAACTCAAAATATTGCTTGTATGGTTCATCCTCAACCCAGACTCAATTAGCGGGGCTGGCAAGTTTGTTTTGAATTCCAAATCATCCTATGGTAGGAAACTGATCATCTAATAAATTAAGCTGGGCTGGGCGGTTAAAGTGCGTACTACTCGCAATAACCGGTGAGATCCAAAAAGGGGCACCGATTTTGTCTTCGGCCTTGCACCTAGATTAGGGCTGCTATAATCGTGAATCCATCGACCAGGACACTTATTCCTTATAAATGCAGTTTCTTTGGTTTTGGCGTTGCATTATTTTGAAGTATTTACTGATATTATAAGCAATGTAGTTTTGTGGCACAATCCATAGAGCTGAATGATTGATGATGATGAAACGCTCAGGTTCTGATTTATTTTTTATCATAGAAGGACAAATTTCTCTTAACGGTGACCTTACTTGGGGCTTTTATCGTGGTACTGAATGCTTGCCTTAGCACCATTAGCGAATTTCCACATATCCTACAATGCGCTTCATGATCACGGTAGGCTGACCGAAGTGAAGCTATTCGAAAAGACTTACCCAATAAAGACTGAAAAAGTCTCCCCTGCATGCTTCCTAGAAAGCGGTTTCCTATTTGAGTCAAACCACGCCAACTGTGTCAATGAATTTTCATTGATTTTCTGGAAAGTGAAGACAATTGTGGGATTCCGTAGATAATTATAGAACAAAAATACACTTTGGACGGTTTTTCGAAATTGCACTTCGTTTTTGTTTTTTTTTTTGGTATTATAAGAATATTGCTATTTTTGAGAGAAAAATTCGTAACTCGCGACCCATTTGATGAAATTTGATGAAATTTTTTTTTGAGAGTTGCTGAAGCTTTTCCCTTTCCAATAGAAAGATTTGCAGAATAATTTGCAAAACAATTAATTCTTTAATAACAATAATTTAAACAATTGCAATTATTTATATATAATATTTAATATTATTTAATATAATAATATTTTATATATTAAATTTTGGCACAATATACTCTAAACTCTTGTTTTTAAATTCCAAAAAGAAAAAATTGGTCTTTCCAATTTTGACAGTCGCTATCGATTTTTTTCTCACCTTTAAGCCTTGAGTAAATAGCTATTTTCATGTAAGCTTGTGTGAGTGATAGCAGTTTTATGTTAATTAATGAATAATTATACAAGCATTCTTTTGATAATGAGGTACAGCAGTGCCAAATTTCATGTTCCTAGCTACTTAGATGGAGGAGTTATAACGAAAAATCTTATATCTGAACAATCAGTTATATGGGAGCTATAGGTTATAGTGACCCGATCTTCGCCATTTTCACTGAAAGTAAATTTTTGATAATGGGTGACAACAGCGAAAAATTTCATGATCCTAGCTACTTAAATGGAGGAGTTATAACGAAAAATCTTATATCTGAACAATCAGTTATATGGGAGCTATAGGTTATAGTGACCCGATCTTCGCCATTTTCACTGAAAGTAAATTTTTGATAATGGGTGACAACAGCGAAAAATTTCATGATCCTAGCTACTTAAATGGAGGAGTTATAACGAAAAATCGTATATCTGAACAATCACTTGTATGGGAGTAGGGTTGCCAGATTTTGAAACGGAGCAAGGAGTACATTTATATTTTCGATAGAAAAAAAGCAGTACATGACATAAAAAAGGAGTAACATTTTATTTTTTTTTTTTAGCAACTTATTGTTACAAATTACCATAAATTAGGTACAAACAAACAAAGATATCTTAGAAATTTTTTTCAAAGCAACAATAAATGTGAAAAATAAATAACTATATGGGTTGGCTTTCCAATAGGGACGGTTGTTAAAGAGATGGTCAGCGAAGGGGGAGTGGACGTGGCACCTTTTCGGACCTTTTTGGAGAGGGCATGAGCCGCCATTGACAAAAATGTTACTCCCGACCTCCTAGGGCCCCTATGGGTCCCCAGAGACCCCTTAGAAAAATTGCCAAAAGTCATAATTTTCACTTGCGTCCACAGTATTTTTGCGTAGAATGCGGTTGTCAATGACCGCCCTTATAGGAAAGTTTCCCCAACTAAAAAACTAAAAACTACACAAGAATTCCAGACTCTTCCTGAATGTATGGTCATTTTTTTAATTTAAGCTTTATAATTAATTTAATATTTTTCTGATTTTTATACCCGAGCGCCCTACCGCTAAGGCCATGCTTACACCTTTTCACTATCACACTTAACTTTGCTTACTAAGTAGTGTTTGCCACAAATGAATGGCAAAGTACAGCGCGCAAAATAATAACTGTCGCGCAGGTTTTTGGAAAAATAAAAGAGTTCTTTATAGATTTTGTGTTTTTTTTTGTTAACTTTGTAAATATTTTACTTTAATTTTATTAATTGGTTTTAAAATTTTAATCCTGATTTGCATTTGCCAGCTTTGGGAGATAAGTACATGCGGCACGAACCTCTTTTTCAGGTGTATTTTTCTTAGATTTTGTATAAAAAAAAGAAAAAAGACCTGTATAGGGTTGGTCGAATGAATGCCCTCCTAGTCACCAGTTCCGAGTCTTTTCGATTGCTAAGTATGAGGCCTCATGTTGTACAAAAGACGGAGTATAAAGGACCCAAATGGGGGAAATTAGCCTATGGTTACAGAAGATATGTAATAAAGTAAACGACGAAGACTTATGCTTTTCGCCCAAACCCCCTGGTAAACCCAAATGAACGTTAAATTTAAAAAACTATACAATAACTACTTTTTTTACTTGCGCTTTTCTCTCAAAGTGGTTACCGCCGGTAAACCCAAATGAAGGATAAAATTTAAAAACAAATTAAGAAAATTGAAGTAAAATCTGGGGATAATTAACAATAAACTACTTTTTCGCAAAATCTATAAAGGCCCCTTTTATTTTTCAAAAAAAAACTGTGCAACAGATATTATTTTACACCCTGTATATGTTAAATTTTAATAGCTGGAAAAAGGAGTACAAAGCTAATAAAGGAGTACATTTCCAGATATTTTATTTGGGAGTACAAGGGAGTACATTGCAATAAAAAGTAGTACGTTTACTCCCAAAAGCAGTACGTCTGGCAACCCAATATGGGAGCTATAAGTTATAGTGACCCGATCTTTGTTATTTTCACTCTAAGTATTTTGTTGATAATGGGTGGAAGTATTGCAAAATTTCATGTTTCTAGCTGCATAAATGGAGAAGTTATAACGAAAAATCACATATCTGGACAATCAGTTGTATGGGAGCTATATGCTATAGTGGTCCAATTCTTCCGGTTCCGACAAATGATTAATACATTATCAAAATACACCCACCTACCAAATTTCATCCGGATATCTCGAAAACTGAGAGACTAGATTGCATACAAACAGACGGACAGACAGACAGACGGACATGGTTAAATCGACTCAGCTCGACGTTCTGATCATTTAAGTATACATTTTAATGGATCTATCTCTTCTTTTTCTGGTACTTACAAACATCGGACCAAAGTTATAATACCATTTCATGCTCATGAAAGGTATAAAAAGTAGGTTTCAAACCCATTGATTTATTATTTATTTTATGGTAGAAGAGCTTCTCAAAAAATATAGAAGCAATTTTTTCGATTTAAGTTGTTGAAAAGTAATGAATATCTAAATTCCGGGACTAATGCCGGGATCCCGGGATTGTGATAACGACATCCCAAAAATCCTGTGATCGGAAAAGGCTGAAAAATTAACATCCCTAATGCATACATGCTAGGGATGTTCATTTTTTCGATTATGATCCCGGGATTTTCGGGATCTCGTTGTTACAATCCTGGGATACCGGGACTTGAATATTAATTTTTTTTCAACCACTTAACTGAAAAAATTCCATCAATACTGTTTGAGAAGCTCTCCTACCATATAATAAATAACAAGAAAGAAGTTCATACATATACGTATATTGGTAATTTTTAAACAAATTGTACATGGCATAGGGCTGCCATAATCTTGAACCCATCGACAAATACAGTTTCATTGGTTCTGGCGTTGTATTATTTTGAAGTATTTTCTGATATTATAAGCAATGTAGTTTTGTGGCACAATCCATAGCATTGAATGATTGATGATGATAAAAAGCTCAAGTTCAGAATTTTTTTAATCATAAAGGAGCAAATTTCTCTTGACGGTGACTTGGAAAATGTTGAATGCTTGCCTTAGCACCATTAGCAAATTTCCAAATATCCTACAATGCACTTCATGATCATGGTAGGCTGACTGAAGTGAAGCCATTGTAAAAGACCTACCCAATAAGGACTGAAAAAAGTGCCTCCCCGCATGCTTCCTAGAAGGCGGTTTTCCATTTACAATTTACGGGAATGTACTTAAGTATATGTTTATATTATTTAGCATTACAAACAGTGATGCCAGACATTCTCTGTTAAAAATCCCACGAAAATTGGGAAAAAATCCCTCAATTACCCACATCTTGAAAATTTATCCCACAAAATTCCCAACGAATTTAAACATACCCATGTTTCAGTAGTAAAGAAGTAAAATTCATATAAAATTTGTTTTTTGTTATTTTTTTGGCCTTTTTAATAATTATATTCAACAATTTTATAATGAGCTCGAGGCCATTTTTTAAATGAAAATTTATTGTGGAAAAGCAACAATAATTTGAAAAAATGGTAGAAGTGATAGCTATTTCGGAAATCACCACATTTCCTCATCAGACTTCTTTCAGTAGGATTCGAACCGACGATCCCACTGACTCAGCCAGTTGCCTATGCACGTTTGGAGGAAAAGCACATATGTGTAAGCGCCAAACTATTATTATTATTTTATATGAATTATATTCAACAATTTTATAATGAGCTCGAGGCCATTTTTTAAATGAAAATTTCTTGTGGAAAAGCATCAAGAATTTGAAAAAATGGTAGAAGTGATAGCTATTTCGGAAATCACCACATTTCCTCATCAGAC